AATGAGAAATTTTATATATATAACAAGACAGGTATTACTGTAACATAATTGCTGATCAAGACAGAAATTACTAGAACAAATAAATAACAAATACCCATAGAGGTGTAAAGCCAGCAAAATTCATTCAGGTTAAGAGGGGAAAGATTAAACTAGAAGCAGGCTTTTTGTTTGGAAGGGGATGACAGTGGTATTTTTTCTGGTGGAAGGAATTTAAAGGAGAAGTTACTATACCAGTTGACACTTTTTTTGATAAATCTTAACCAGTCTTTTCTCTGATATTAGTTTACTGGACTCTTAGCCAGCATAGAAAACCAATTGGACTAGGAGAAGAAAACAATGAAAAATCACTAGCTGCTCATGAAAACTCTAAAAAAACCCATGACTTTACAAATTCGTCAAAGGATGGGGTTTTATTAATGGTGTCCCAACTAGAATAAAGGTAACAGCTTTTCTATTTGAATTTTCCTTTTAAACCACCAGCAATCTCATGTGCTCTGGAGTTCCAGAGTTCGGAAAACTTAACTTAGTGATGTGACAAATATGTTCCTTACCAAGTCTGAGAACATTTTATTTATTCAAAAGAAGTGCCAGGTATAACTCAGAACCAGAAGTAAACCATTTTTTACTTCCTATGGTTTCAGTCATTTGAACAAGATCCGAACAGTCAAAGATTTTGCAAAGAAAGGGAACTAAGAAACATTTCCCCCCTGAGTTAATTCTTTTGGGTCAACGTGATGATCTGCAAATTGGTATGGCTACCACCAGCAACAAAACTGTCAGAAGATGAAGAGAACAGAGGATTGATAGCTTGCTGCTTGTGCTGGGAAATCACACCCTATATGCTTGTAGCGTCTGAGGAGCTACCCTATGAAGGAATCCTAGCCTATAGGAATATCATCTAACCTGCCCATCAAATGACAGCAACAACTTGCACCCAAGTACATACTTTCTGTGAGTACTCCCATATAACACATAGGGGTTATATTAAAAGGGAAATGTGTTTGTGCTCAAACAGGATGGGGAAAGCATCCTGTCATTTAAAGGAGTCTGCTTCTGTAAATTAGATTTTCTTGCAGACTTGTCTGTCACTTTTCATCTTTACACTCTGATGTTGAGCTGGGTTTAAAAGTCACACAAGGGATTTAGAAGGGTTTAGTAAGTAGAAGTGTCTGCAGCTGAAACCAAGAAGTTGGCAATACTTATGATAAAAACTCTACAGCCCAAAGGAGGGGATTTGAATGACAGACCATTGAGGTTTGAGGAAGTCTTTTAGCAGCAGACTGAAAACAAGCTGATCTGGAAGCAAATGCAGAAGCCTCAAGAAAACAAAGGCATGGAGAGGAAGCTTACTGGGAAATTCTTACAGAGCTGCCAGAGTTTCTAAGGCTCATACTGCCTGGCAACAGACAACTGGATTGAAGGGTTTCCATGTGGATTGGAGACCAGAGGAAGCAAGAACATCAAGAGCCAGGATCCTATTTAGTATCTAGAAGATAAACTACCAAGGTGAAGAAACAGATATGAGCCTCAAAAGAAGCTTCACAGGTAGTGTTAGAAGTTGGGGCCCAGAACCTCTTTTCAGCTGCTATCAGTCACTTATCCACAACTGGGTAATATCTGAGAAGTGCATTAGCCTCTCACCCTGAGACAAAACATTTTCTAAAAATTTGACATGAATTTGGACAGAGGAGTTTGAAAGAGAGTATGAAAATAACTGCATTGTTAGCTTTGCATGAAGTTATCAATATGAAAATTCTTTCTAGATTTCAGGAACTTGAGAAAAATTGTTATGCGTTTATTCCAAGTAAAACACACTTTTGTGCCCTAATGCTCTACTCGATGAATAATGATGCAACACACAGGTTCACCAAGGACTAGATGTGTTTAAAAGTTGTGCAGACATGGTGTTTAGGGACATACATGTCTTAGAAGTGGACTTGGTAGAGTTAAGTTAATGGCTGGACTTGGTGATCTTAAAGGTCTTTTCCAACCTAAACAATTCTATGATTCTGTGACAGAAAAATCTTCTCAGAGCAGCAGCCATTGCTTATACAGTATCACAGAATAGAGATGAAACAGGTAAACTGTACCAGCAGCTGAATACAGGTGCTCTTCCCAATGAAAAAAAAAGCAGAAATCAACTGGATCCCAACCAGAGGACTCCAGCAACTGCTGCAGCAGCCAAGTCTCACCCACTGGACATGCACCTGTTTGTGCAAATTAACTACACTGCATGCTTATGGCAAAGAAAAATGCTCTAAGCTTGGCATGAGCTTTTGAAAACAGGTTTGGAAAAACATCATTCAGTATTTACAGTTATCTGGCCTGCATTAGAGGACACAGATTCAATCTCATTTCAGGTTAAAATCTCCTAGGACAACACTTCTAATCTAAAGTACTAGAAATACAGTAGGCAATCCAACAAATTAACCAACAATGTGTAAGCAAATTATTATAGATCAAAACAAAGTAATAAAACTTGGAAATACTCTGACAAGTAAGACAACAGAACTACACATGCTCCACAGAACAGCTTTATATTCAAAATTAAAACCACAGCTTCAGAGTCAGCTGTACAACACCAAACTGTTTATGTTGGGATAACTTCTAATTTAGAGAAGTATTTTCAAAGATCCAGACAACACAATATTTTTCAGTTTATGTCTCATAAATATTGCCATTGCTGTTTTCTCATTAATGTCATTCAGAAACTTCAAATTACTGCACTACTAAAATTTTCTGGATCCTGTGAAACTCCAACTAGCTTCTTACACTTTTGTTCCTAACAGGAACCTCAAACTCCAGGTATGATTAAATCTCATTACCAAATTCACTCTTTCAAGCAACAGGCTTCTTCTCTCCCTATCCAAATATTTCCTTACATAATACTTACATAATACTAAGAGATTTCAAGATTACAGAGACAGGCCATGAGGGTGTGAAGGTAAACTGCTGATTTCAAGACACTGGATACCTTTTAAAATGTTCCTATTTCTGTTCACCTTTTCCCACATGCACAAAAAAGTCCAATATGTTTTCCATCTTTCCATTGAAAATCTGTGATATTTTCATTGCTCTCTGAATTTCACAGGTCAATTCTTTGACATCAGGTTTGTAAAGAATAGCAATATTTTATATAGGAAATTTTTCTTTTAAAGTCAGTTAGGCTTTCACATCTCCCAGCAGGATTAAATAAAGAACCAACTGGTGAATCCATTGGTTTAATGCTGTGAAGATTATACGCTAGATTTTAATTTCTGATTTTTTTTACACTTTTTTCTCCTTTCTTTTCTGTAAGACTGTATTCTTCACCTAGGTATGCATAGCACATGCTGATAGGTAGGATAAAACTTTCTGTTTTCACTTACTTTTGCTGAAGGATTTATGTCATCAAAACACTAATTAGAAGCATCCCATAGTATTCACTTCATACCTGCACTGCTGATCAAGAAAATGACATGACTACAAAAGGAGTCTGAAAGTTTTAATGGTGAAGATTATTTTTTTTTCCATTTCAGTTCAACAGACAAGCATATGGATATTACATAGATCTCACCCCATAGGTAGCTTCATGGCCATTTGTATCGCAAATTTATTCTTATTCCACATGGGATGTCAGCATGATGAATAAGAAACTGTATTTATCAGGATTTCTTACAGACAGTGTGTCTATGAATCTCCACTTGTTATCGCGATACAAATTATAACATTATTAATGTCAAGTGGCTATAAAAGTCTCAAGGAACAAAACTCAGAGATACTACCCAAGCAAACTGGCTGTTCACATCATACAGGCAAATAACCTGGTTACAGATGCGATGTGAACACATGCCACAGAAGGACTACATTAGTCATATATGAAGTTATTTATGACTACTCCTTAAGAAGCTAAAAACAATGGCAACCACATTACCAGTATTTATAGTAAGTATTCATGTTCTCAAAAGGATTTTGAATAATGTCCCAGACTGGCCCATGGCATTGTAGATACTTGGCTCAGATTCATGGAGTGATAAACTGGGAGATATGCAGAGCAGTTAGATGTGTTCACAGTTCCTGCATCCAAACCTGGTTCTGAATGCAATTAGCAGACCCAGTTAGCAAAACCAGTGAAAGATGGGGGAATTAAACTTTCTAGGTATCTCTCAGTCATTAAATAAAGCCTAGTCTCCAAGTCAAGTCTGGTTTCCCCTCTGTCATGCTACTTCATCCTAGCAAGAACTTTTTGTATAGCTAAGAAAGCACTAGTAACAGCAAGTGAAGGGAAATTTCTTTCTGTGACACATACTTTCCAGATTTTGATTCAAATAAATTTGAATACATTTCTAATATTCGTGCAAATAAATACATTCAGTCATCATTTGCATGTTCTTTACTTGTGGCTACAGAAAGCCTCACTCTCCCAGCCAGAGAGACAACAGATGCCAGCAGCCAATAAGATGAGCTTTAAGTGTTTTCAGGCTTTCTTTATACAGCACTGCAGATTACACCCATGAAAGCAGATTAACTTGATTATTTCAGAAATATCAGATGTTACATGTCTGTATGTGGAATGAGTTTGAGAAATACTGATAGAAACAAAGAGTCAATGATACACAGTCCTTTAAATTTCAATTTAATGACTATCATGTCCATTCATTGTGATAACTGAATCCACAACATTTTATATAAGTGTTTTTAAAAGGGAACTATGTGTGCTTTCAAACAATATGATGTCGTATTGCCTTGTGCAATTTCACTTCTAAAATACTAGAATGACGGTTCTCATGATGATAATCTATAATTTCTTGACACATTACAACAGTTTAGTACATAGTTCAAACTATAAGGTTTGCTATTTTACACTTTCACAGTGCTGCTATGTCAAGTATGTTCTTGAGTTCACCAGATACTTAGTATACCTCACTCTTCCTAAGAGACTTATGGAACAAGATCCCATGTAGTAAAGGAGATCGTGTAAGACCAACACAGACATGTCCTCAGAGCTATGGAAAGAAACACAGATGTGTTTTTTCCATGCTGTCAGCATATATGTATCCATGACAGAAGTATACGGTTCACCTTTACAGACAGGCAGGCTACAAGAGAATACTTCTTTAAATACCTAAATGTAGTTTCAGCTCAATACATAGTATACGTTTTCATATGGAGGACATTCACTATTAGTCAAAAATAGCCTGATCTATCTAGCATTAAATTATAATAACCTAAAACAGGAAAAATATGTTTATGGTTACAGCATGCATAGAAAGCCAGATGACATTAAAAGCGTCATAATTACATAGTCTGTTTTACTGCATTTTCAGCAGACCCAGACAGACTGTCATAACATTTTTGTGTCAAATGCTGACCATTTTACTGTTTTCGTAAAGACGCTTAGAAAAACTTTGCTGAATGTTTTTTCAAAACCCTGTATCTGGATTTCAGTCCTAATGCCAGTCATTCTCCACCAAATTTGGGCAGTCAGGTTCAGATCCCTCTGTGAGATGCTCTCTGTCTTCAGCTGTGATGCTTTGCAATTGGAGATCCAACAGTATCCTGCATTAAAATGTAAACCAAGGTTGACCCCTAGCTAGGTCAAGGGGAAGACAGGAGGGGAAGAGAGAAACCTGCTGGCTTGATTTATTTATATCTTGCTGTGCAAATCATGCTGGTTGGCCATTTTAGTACTGCATTGAAAAAAAAAGCTAAATTTCTGCCCTCTTTGTTTCATATACAAAAAATAAATTTCTATTTAAAAACAAATTAAGCAAAAGTAAGGTTTATTACTGGGCATGCCTATAGTGTTAGCTTGGGATAAAGCTTGATTGTGAACTCAATGACCAGAATTATCGAGTATTTTTAAATACAGATTCATGCTCTACCTCATTTATGCACCAGACCAATTAACTAAGTGAAATCTGGCAGAGAAAAAAGTGAATTTTTAACTCAAATTTTCTATCACATGAGCCACATGGCACAGTGAGTGGCCCATGGCTCTCACCCAGGAATGGCTAACACCCTGTGCATTTTACTTTTCAGAACTCAAAGCTGCAGGCCTAGCTTTACCCTGTTTCCAGAAATGCCCTCTTTTTCAGCAGCTTATCCCATTAGGAATTATTCTCATCTATACCGTGTTGCTTGCTTCATTTTATCTCATAAGCCCTCAGCAGAAGTATATGGAACTTACCATAACCTTATCTGCAGCTCTTCTCTGAAGCCCTAAGAACTCATTTCTCACCTGACTGCATCTCTTTTTCCTGCCCCATCATCTTGCAGATTTTAATTCTCCAGGCAGATGGATTTTTCATCAATCTTTTGATATAAATTCTGAATTTCATTGCTTAACCATTCCTCTAAAAGTTGTAGCTGGACTGTTTCATTATTATTCAGTTTACCTCTCTTCCATGAATGCCTTCTGGTCCTGGTTCTCCTTTATCTCCTTTTTCACCCTAGAAGAACGAATATTTATTTTATTATTTCTACAAAACAAAAACTAACCTGTAACACTTTTTAACAGAAAGAGTATTTTAAGATTTTTGTCTGTTCTACATAAAATGACTCATATGCACTGCTGGCTGCAAAAGCAAAAATATTTCCTACATTCCAACAGAAATTCTTTCCAAATAAATGCCTCTGAAAAATGCCTAATACTCAGAGAGCTGCAGCTCTCTCTACTTCACAGTGCCATGGAGCATCCATAAAGACTCGCCAAAGAAAAACACTCTTGGTTCTCACAGCACTATGAGGACATGGTGCTGAAATAGAAATTTAGGCTGGGGAACAGTTTTCCTTTTGAAAATCATAACATTGAAATTATATTAATTGCTTTCATTCTGAGACTGTTCTTAAATAAACAGTTCTTGTAATAAATATTTGATAGCAGAAGTGTCCTCAATATTATAATTTATCTTTGACTCATACTGGTATATGGTTCACTGATTGCATATGAAAAATGGAAACAATTTTTCTTCTGGCAATTTTATCACAAGTATGGACTAAGAACAACATTATGAATCAACAGAAAAAAATGGTGGGAAGGATGCTTCAGATTTGACTACAGAAGGCTGGTTCCTGTGTTTGCTCATGAAAAACTAATTACAAAAAACCAATATTCTTTGCAGAATACATGAGATGGTTCAGTTCTGTATTACCCCTAATATCACGCTATTGTAGTTAATGTATTAAATCAAAGTGAACAAAACACAAGTGCTTAAGAAGCATAATTTAAGGGAGAATGTCTTACAGAACCAACAAATTTAACAGCTCTATAATTCTGTCACTAGGCTGAACTTTGTCAAATCATAAAGGTAACATAATACTGACAAAAGCATGAGGACTGACTTTACTAGAGCCCAAGCTCTTCATACCAGTCAAAGAAAGGGAATAACCCTGAACTGAATTTCACTTATCACCAGGGGACTACATTTGTCTGAGCAGAACCTATTCATTATGTCAGTATCATCTTCATAATTCTGTTAAGTAAATGTTATTGAACTGAGATAATTCAGCTAACTCCATTTGTGACACAGTCCTGGATTCAGAGCTATTCCTCTACTGGCAATGACAGAGGGCGTTTCATCTAATAATCAGTTCTACTAAATGAGTTTGTATGAGCCTTATCAAACAACTGAAGCCTACTAACAAATTAGCAACAGCAAACTGTGAATTTAATAATCCCATGCACAAATGGGTTTGCTAGTTCATTGTTTCCATTTTAATACATCTTGATGATAACAAACCAAATGCTGTGCATTAGTCTGAATCATACTGTTTGAGGTTTTTCCTCAAGTATTGTCTTTATTGCTTGTAAAAAACCAAACAAACCAAAGCAAAACAAATGACACTCAAGAGTTGTAGGAATTCAACACTGGTTATTTTAGTTGCTTTTTCTATAAAGACCTCTTTGTTCTATGGATTATGCCATTGCTTGAGAGAGAAATTGTCTTGCTGCCAGTTTAAAGAGAAATAGCTTAAGTCCCAAACTTACTTTTTTTTTTTTTTTTAATAGTTCAATTAAAATTTTCAGAAAAAAATGGAAAATGACATTTAGAACTGCTTTCAGGATCTGTCAACATGCTACAAACTTGCAAGAACTACAAAGGTACAGTCATTTATTTACCATATCTCCTTATCTGAATATATTCCTAGGAGCTTTAAAAATCATTAAAATTTATGGAGTGTTTTTTTTTTTTCTTCTATGATTTGTTTATCTACTTTCATACGTGAAGAGTAAACGACATAAATATGCGTAGCTTTTGCTACACATGTAGTAGCATCCTGTAAACTCTGTGATGCAAAAGTGGAAACCTCAGGTAGAAATATCATGACATAATTTGTTATCCAACATCTTTATTACATAAAAACCAAAACAGAGAGCCTGAGCCAAAAAAAGATCCTCCCCTTGTCCTTGCTTATATGCCTTGATGTTAGATGAGGAGCTGCCTTTTTCTTCTACAGCAGGCAGTCAGTACCTTTAAAATGATAGTGGGTAGTTCTGCACATATAAAAGTGTGCTTGGTGAATACGGGGAAGAAAGAAAAACTCCCTTTTTCATGAATTTACAAGATATTTGGATTTAAGATGCTTATCGGTTTCTTAGGCAAAATTATTAAAAGCACCGCCTGTTAATGAGCCTGGACCTCTGTAAAGTCCCCAGAACCACAGGCTTTCTGCCAGGTATACAATTTTACTATGAACCTATTCTTTTTTTAAATGAGTAAATAATTTTATTTTTTTTGGTCACCAAGCCCATTGTGTTGAATGTCCATGTCCTCTGTGGAGCCAAAATTCAAATCAAACAGAGATCCAATTTTTACAATTTATTCTCATGAGAACTGAGCAAAGTCATGCTCATTTCTGCCTTTATGGAGTGCAATATACTGCATAATGAACAGCTTCAAATCTAGCCAATTTGCAGAATGGCTGAAGCCACTCTGCAGTGTAGAGGAGGCTGTTAAGAATCAACATTGTGGCTTACCTCATATATTAACAAAAAGGAGTGAAAAATGTGCTAGTGCCATTTTATATTTAATGCTCCTGCCTGTTTATGCTGTGTTCAGATGAGACAATTAAAGACAATTTATTGGAAAAAGAGGATGACAAAACTTGAGGTGCTACGCCTTGTTCATTCGTTAAGTAAATCTAATCCAATATAACTGAATTATTAGTATTTCTTTGGGTGCCTTCTGCTTTCCACTACCCCAATGGAACAAGCTGATTGGATTGCCTCAATATAAGCACTGGGAGGGATTCCGTCTGCCATGTGTAAAAGTGGACACACTGAATTCAGTGGTAACATTCTTTAATTAGAGCCAGGGATTCAAGCATGGCTTCTTTAAGACTAGAGTACCAGTATTCAACTCACTTGTCAACAAGCTTGCCTCATTTTACTTGCATACTATTTTCTCCTTATTATAAAGGCAAATAAATGCATTTGGAATTAAAATACCTTTATACCTAAAAATTTACCAGAAAAGGGAATGTTTATTTTGCAGTGCTGCTGTTAATCATACTAATCAGGAATTCTTGATATCCTTTTTTTTTTCCCCAAGCATTTTAAAGTACCATTGTTAACAATAGCTGAATTACTCTCCAAAGTATACAGTATCACTAACTCAGTGCAGATATATTACAGATTTTAACCTCTGAAACTCTGTGATTTAAAGGGGAAGATAGTAGATTTAGGCTAGACCTTAGAAAGAAAGGTTTTACTACAAAGGTGGTGAGACACTGGCACAGGTTGCCCAGCAAAACTGTGGCTGCCCCACCGTGAAGTGTTCAAGGCCAGGCTGGATGGGACTTTGAGCAACTTGGTCTAGTGGGAGGTGTCCCTGCTCACGCAGAGAGGTTGGAACTAGATGATTTTTGAGGTCCTTTTCATTCTATGATTATGTTTTTACCCTACATATCTTTATGATATAGTTATGGTTTAGTTGTTGGGTTTTTTGTTTGTTTGTTTTTTAATATTTTCTGTGTTTTGCTACAGCACTATCTCAGCAGAATTCTCTATGTAAATTTTCTTTTCTTGTGATAATTTCTCTATACCTTTTTATAAACTGAACTGAGCTCATAGTAATAGTTACTGATTTTTCCTAAAACAGTTATGGATTTAAAAAAAATTAGTATCTTCAGATAAGGAAAACCTCTATGGTTTTTGCTGATAGATGTTCAGAGAGCTCGGGTTGTGAAGGGATCCATCCCAGTAACATTGTTATTGAGTGACCTGTTACATTTCTGCAGAAAGTGGCATAGTATACTTCAGGAAAGTGGCAACACTCAAGGGGAAGCACTTCAGGACTGCAGAGACACTATCACATCTAAAAGGAGTAGAACTCAAGGCAGACTAATGATCCTGCCTCATTTCAGACTGAGAGGGACTATGGAAGGAAATGAAAGATGGACACATGAAGCTTATTCATAAACAAACTGCAACCCTGTAGCACATAAACCCACTACCTAAGCAGGGTTAGAAAGAGGCAGCACAAAATACTGCAGAAATACACTTCTATTTCTAATAAACTAAAATCAATGGTGATGAGCTGGAAGGATGTCACTGTGAGACCTGTGTCCTCCCAGACGCACGTATTTAGGATACTCAGACACAGAAAGAACGCAGGTGATGACAAAGCTTCACAGGCATTACCAATTCAGAGACCTCAGCAGATACAATTACAAAGAAACTGTGACCAAAACCCTTCTGATTCCAAGATGGTGTGCCATCACCACCTTGTGAAAGAGCGTGAAACAACTGATGTCCTGCCTGACTAAGCTGGATAACATACCTGGAGAAAGAGTTTTCCTTCCTGCTTCACTTACATAGACTGAACAATACTGACAAAGTTCATACCAGCTAAGGACTGCTTAGTGTCATGCATCACATTTCTAAGCAAGCTCTAAGCATTTCTAAGCCAGAGACAGTATATAAATGCAAACTACCACTTCAATTGCATCCAACATTGTAGGCACAGAACTATTTGAAACCAGGCCAACCCTTCAACCCCCTTCAAAAGTACATTGATGAATTGCCTCTTTCTGTCAGAAGGAATGAGGCAGACATCCCTTCTTATTCTTTGTAGAAAAACCTTAAAATGCAAAGTTGCTTCAATTATTCAGAACAGTGATTGAAAAAAAAAAAAAAAAATCAAGTCCAATAAATGCTATAGTGTAGTCCTCTCCAAATGGAGAAACCATGTGCACAAAGATTAGGTAAAGAATAATCTCTGTGGCACACTAGTGCAGAAAAGGATCTGGGGACTATCATGTATATCATAGTGGGAGAAAATCTGTTGCACAAAGTTATTTTTAAAAGGCTCTATTTGCCAGTTGCAACTTGAAAAAACCCACAATTATTCCAGTTTACTTGCCACAAACAAGAACAGTGAAAAACAATATCTAGTTCAGGGAATCATATTTTTCATTGAACTTTGTCAACTTTTAGTTCTCTGCTCTT